GCAGACTAACTTCATGATGAGTTGCAGCGGCAGTTGAGAGAGGCAGCGGAAAGGAGACAGTGAGCTATTTTGAGAAAAACTAGACTAGGGAGTAGGAGACAGGAGCTAGGCAGATCAGAAGCAGTACATGAGTCAACACTTGACACTGCGATGCGAGCGCTGTGTAACTCGCTCCTTTGCGTGGCTGAAACGCAGGTTGTTCAACAGGAAGTGCTGGCTGAACTAGTGGCAGGCCAGAAGCAAATTCAGAAATTTTGGCTGCACTGCAGGCTCCTCGTCCCATGATGAGGCAGCCTCAGTATGTTGTAGCTCCCCCTTCGGGTGCGGGCCCCTCAGTGACGCCATCGCCAGTAGGGCCATCCTTCTCTCCTATGTTTGGCATTCCTTCATCGAGTAGTCAACCAATGGTTAGTGGTCCGGTTCTTAAAAGTCTTTGTCGTACCATCGACGACAGTGGTTACTACAGTCCCACTGTCGAGCCAGGCCCAGGTTAGCGTGCAGCAACCTGTTTTGGTGGCTATGCAGCCACTACAACAATCTCCTGGGCCAATGCAGCCTATGCAGTGGATGCCTAAAATACCCTTGTTGATTCCTAAGCCCTTCTCTGGCGACAGGAAGAAGGATGAGGACTTGGATACTTGGGTAAGGATAGTGCGCACCTATGTGAGGCACAAGCTTACCAGGCTGGAGCAAGAAGTTGGAGTAACTCCCTCTTTTTTAGAAGGGTCAGCAACCCGTTGGTTGAATGGCCTAGTGCAGCAACAGGGCTACGGTCAGAGCTTCGATGCCTGGGCCCATCCCCAAACATTGGAAGATTTCTTGCGGTCCGTGTATAACAGGTGGCATGACCCGCAAGGGGCTCAAAAGGCCACAAATGCAATCAACAGTCTTTGTGCCAGAAGGTACAGGAATGTTCTTGAGCTCACAGATACAGTCGAACGTCTGCTCATGGGATCGATGGCCTTTTGGACATGGTGCAGGGTTGTACAGTGTTTAGCAAAGTACTTCAAATCTGGCTACCACCAGATTGAGATGGCAGAGGAGGATGTCTACAAGACAGCCTTCAAGACCAGGTATGGGACTTATGAGTTCCTGGTCATGCCATTTGGACTTTGCAATGCCCTTGGGACCTTCCAGACAGAGATGCACCGCATCTTCAGGCCTTACCTGGATGAGTTTATGGTTGTCTACCTGGATGTTATCCTGGTATTCAGCAAAACTGCCAGGGAGCATGCGGAGCATTTGGCCTTGGTCCTTCAGTCATTACGCGACAGCCAGTACAAGATCAACAGAGAGAAGTCCTCTTTTGGAGTTCCCTCTGTCATCTATCTGGGTCATGTAATCGATGGAGACGGCCTGGCTCCTGAAGCAGCCAAGATTGGTGCTATTCAGGAGTGGCCTCTTCGTCGGGAACTTTTTTGTAGTGGCTGCACCCTTGACCAACCTAACAAAGAAAGACACTCCTTTTCCTTGGTCCCTTCACTGCCAGTCGGCCTTCACACGACTCAAGAAGGCCTTGACTCATGCACCAGTGCTGAAGTTGCCTGACCCCACTTTGCCATTCATCCTGACCACGGACGCTAATCAGTATGGCATTGGGGCAGTTCTTCAGCAAGACGATGGGAATGGTCTACGACCTGTAGAGTTTGAGTAAGAAGATCAAGACTCAAAAGTTCCAGGACTCCATCTACAAGAAAGAGCTGTATGCTCTTGTCTGTGCCCTGAAACGCTGGAAGCACTTTCTCCTGGGAAGGCACTTCAAGATCTTTTCAGATCACTCCACCCTTCAGTGGATGAAGTCCCAGGGAGAGTTAAACGATAAGTTGGCACGATACATTTAGTTCATTGACATGTTCGACTTTGAACTGAAGCATAAGAAGACTGCTACAATAAGGTAGCAGATGCCCTCTCTCGTAGGCTTGACTCTTTTGCGCCGATCTCCTCTACTCACTCCTTTGGAGAAGAGACCCGGCAGACCATTGCTCATCTACTGCCTCAGGACCCGACTTTCGGACCCATAGTCAGGAATCTGCAAGCAGATCCTAACTCTGAACCAGGCTATGCCCCGAGTTCAGATCTGCTGTATACTTAACAGCAGAGGTGAGGAGCGCTTGTGCGTTCCATAGGACCAGCGGCTCAGGACACTGCTGATGTCAGAGTGTCATGACGCCCGTGGACATTTTGGGTTCCTAAAGTCGTATGCAGCCCTGTCGCCACGCTCCTTCTGGAAGAAGATGCGGAGTGATATGCTGCGCTATGTGGAAACCTGCGAGCTCTGCCAAAGGAACAAGGTCCAGCACAGGCCTCCTTTGGGACTGCTCAAACCCTTACCCATACCTAATGGCCCTGCTCAATCTGTGTCGATAGACTTCACAGATTTAGGCAAGACCACCCCTCGTGGCATGCGTTAGGTTATGGTCTGCGTTGACAAGTTCTCCAAATACGTAGAGTTCATCCCCTTGCCAAAAGTGGCCAGAGTCCCGGCTGTGAGAGAAGCCTTTTCAGAGAGGTGGGTCACACACCATGGACCGCCCACTTCTATAGTCAGTGATCGAGATCCCCGATTTTGCAGCGATGAGTGGCAGTCCTACTGTAAGGACTATCTGCACTCACGACTGGACATGACTTTTGGTCATCATCTTGAAGCCAATGGTTTGGCTGAAGTGATGAACCAAGTCTTATTCCAGCTGCTGCGTCCTGTCATCTCTCCGGATCAGCAGGACTGGGATCTTCACTTGGCTCGAGCACAGCTTATGTATAACATGTCTGTCCATTCCTCGACTGGGTTCAGTCCATACCGGTTGCACTGGGGACGTGAACCACGACAGCCTCTCGATGATATCATCGATAAGGCCAAGCCTGAGCTGACTCCAGGCACTGCGGAGTCCACAAGACGTTACCGCATAGATGTGGAAAGAGCGCGGGCGAACTTGTTCAAAGCCCAAAAGGCGATGATTGAACAAGCTAATTGCCACAGGCGGCCTTCCCCCATCCGCACTGGTGATCATGTCTGGGTAGCCAGTTCTGAGCTGTCGAGGGAGGAGGATATCTCCCCTAAGCTGTTGCCTCGTTACCTGGGTCCATGGCAGGTCTTAGATATAGTAGGCGCTGATCCATTCGTTCCATCCTATGTCATTGATGTCCCGCTGCATCTACGAACCTACCCGGTCTTCCATGCATCTAAGCTGCTTCCTTTCACTCCAACTGATGCATTCCCCGACCGGCCCCCTCAATTTGGTCCACCAATCCCTGGCAAGGGATATGACGTGGAGTGGATTGAGGATGAGTGGGGCACAGGCCCCGATCGGCAGTATCTTGTGAGGTTCGCATTCCAGCCGCCTTCTGAGAACAGATGGTTCTACAGAAGGGAACTTCTCAAGACAGCAAAGTCAGTTGTTTTGGAAAATGAAGCGGCTCAGAAGGGCAACCTTCCTCGCCGTTCACCTCGCCTACATCCCTAGCTCGGAGGTCCTCGCTCCCCGGGGGGGTAAGCCTGCAATGACTTGCTGATTCGGACTGCTGAGATTGACTGCGAGGCTGTATACTAACCAGTAGGTTAGTTTTGTAATTTTGTTTGGCTGAGGGTTAACCGAGGGACCTACCTGTAAGGAAAACCCCTGAGGGACATATCTGCTAATATGGGAAAATAGGCCCGGTAGTAGTTCGGGTTTCCTACAGCTACCCTAACTGCTGAGAGCAGGACCGGGCTACCCCTAGGACAGACAGGCCCTAAGGGCCTAATCTGATAGACGGTCCTATAGCCTATAGCCGGGTCCGGTAGAGGCCGAGAGGCCGAAACAGCAGCCATACCGGTCGGTCAGTCAGTCCGGTCTAGATCTAGGCTAGGTAGAGTAGTCTATTAATAGTTTAGGGACTTCGGTCCAGAACTTTTTGGCAGTTCATTTTTTGCGATACAGCGTTTTGGAGCCAGGAGGTTTGTGGCGGCGATTGTCTGCAGGCGGTGCCCTGAGACTCTCACCGCGGACAGCAGCCATAGCCAGCCGGTTGAGGACTTGCCATAGCTGGGGCATCCTCTGTGCATCAACCCCTGTGGGTTTCTGCGAGTGGCTGGGCTGTGTGGAGACTCTACACTGAGTCTATGTGGGTGGTGGCAGCCATAGCTGCCGGTTCTTCGTCAGAGTTGTTCAGCGGCACTGAAGACTTCATCGCAGGAGCTGTTCTTCATCTGGGTGGTTGGTGCTGGCCTCTGGGAGGCCAGTCTGATGTGGCGCTACTAACTGGGTGTAGGATAGTGAGTGGAGTGTGAGGTTTTGAGAGTGGCGAGACACTGGAACAAACTCTGTAACGATTTCTGGTTAACTGGCTCATCATCAGTGTGTATTCCAATTGTTATCCTCGCAGGTTCTTTCTTGTGATTGGTTGTTGGGAGTATCGTCAGAGAGTGAGAAACACTGTGTGTCCTCTCCCCATCTGTGCATGTTTGTGCTCCAGCTATCTTCTTTGATCTGTGTGCAGTGTGGACTCTGTCTCCTCTCCCCCTTCTCTTATGCATGTATGGGCGTGTATGAGACTGACTGTGTGCGAGTGGCGGTGAAAATCGTCAGACAACCGAGTTCATAACACAGCTCTATCTGGCGGTGTGCAGTTGGCCTGCTTATTTCGCTTTTACAAGTTTTCAGAATGTCCTTCTGTAGAACCTTGCATGGTGGGTAGTCTATCTGGGGCGGATGCCTTGTCTGGGGCGCTTACACAGTAATGTTAAAGGCAAATACGGCTATATGCTGAAACCTGCTGAGTATCCAATAATGAATGCGTCGGTGTGGACAATCAGCAGGGAAGTGCACGTCTACTAGCAGCCTAGCATGTAGGATGCCTGTGCAGGCGGCAGTGGTCACCTTCATGGACATCCGTGCGCTTGGGGTGGATTTGCTTTGATGTTGCTCAACAGTTGTCAAGAACAGATTAATAGTGGCTCCCATCAGAAATCAGACTGACAATCGCGGTGTGTGATTTTTTATCGCTCTCTCTTGTGGATGCAGTTTAAGTTGGCTGAGAAGATGCGGCCGTGGATCATGAAGAAGATCAAGGAGTACCTAGGGGAGGAGGAAGAAACTCTTGTTGATTATATTGTTTCTCACATGTGCCAACATGTGTCCGCAGCAAGTATGCTTGATCTCTTGGAGTCCATTCTGGACGAGGAGGCGGAGATGTTTGTGTTGAAAATGTGGAGGATGCTTATTTTTGAGATCAAGAGGGCAGAAGTAGGGCTCACAAGAGCAAAGTCGTAGCCTGTGGCGATTTTCAGGGTATGGGATTCACTAGCCAGGCCACATGCAACCTGATCTCTCGCCAAAGGGTGCCAGGAGAGAGGCCTCATCGTGTAGTTGTTCGACAGCACGGATATGTCCCATTTTCCCTGAGAGGCCGCTGTTTCTCCCAAAGCTATGTGTCATCTTTCATGGTGGGTACAGCGTCTGTTTTGGGCCATGTAAGTTCCACGAATACCATGCTTCTATTGAGGTGCTTCCAGGCGTATCCAAGCACTGTGATGTTGTCTCTTGACTGCTGCGTGCCAGCCGCGCTTGGCTTATCATTCAACTGACATGCAAATGAAAATTAGTCAAGGATGTGTATGCAGCTGGCAGTTATCGGTATCTCTATTTATCAACATTTGCATGCTCTCTCTCTCTCTCTCTCTCTCTCTCTCTCTCTCTCTCTCTCTCTGTGTGTGTGTGCATGTGTGTTTTAAAACCCCCAAAACCCCGAATTTCTGTGTGTGTGTGTGTGTGTGTGTGTGTGTGTATGTTTTAAAAACCCCAAAACCCCGA